AGTGACTAACTCAGATTGAAGCAACGAAAGTCTCACGCACTGGTGCAAGGAGAGAGAAAGCCGATGGTTTAATGAAACATAGCTGACCATGGTCAAAACTCTTTCTGTGTGGCAATTTTCAAAGAACTTAATAGAAGTAGAAGAGCCCATTTTTCACCCTACGTTGAGCTTGAGCCTCATTTGCAGCAAGCTTTTGCGCACCGTTCTATGGGGAAACTCTCTCCATTAATGATGGAACGTCGCCGCTTTGCTCCTGATAACCCCAGGGAATTTCTTGTTGTCACCCCGGTTCATTTTGAATTGATGAAATAGCATTCTTATGAAAGCCTTTTGGAGATGATCAAGATTGAGATTTTCATGAATATTAGTGCTACCCTGCTCGTCAAAACAACAGCCATTCGTACTTTGATGCAACCAACACAAAGGTTATATGAACAACGGGCAAGAATGGATAGTCGCCAATCGTGGATGGAACGTAGTAGGAAATAGCTCATCAGAAGAAAGGCATCGGTCAACGCTAGAGGCATTTGAAGGGAGTAGCCACCAGTACAAGAAATATGACTTTATGGGGGCTTGTTGAGTCAAAAGTGGACTTTCTGCTGGAAGATATGAGGTTGAGGGGCAAAGCCAAGCAAGAAGACAAAGGAAGTGGAATGTCCAGAGAAGGGCATTTGAATCATTGAGAAGCGGATAAACTCAGTTGCCAGAAGATGGCTCTTTTTCCATTGCAACGACGAAGCTTGAGAGGCAGATGATCCCGAAGCGTGAACCAGATTCAGAGAAAAATTCCATACCTATATTAGCAGGCGAGTCCGATACTAAGAAGCTTGAATAAGATTCTACAACACTCCCTTACTGGTCTTCGATAAGTCGATGAACCAGATGAAGCAATCCATTTCATAGCGAATGCAGCAGATGTAGCTACATGTTGCAGCGGATTCGGCTACATATTGAAATAGCAGCTCAAGCGTAGCGATAAAGTGAGTCAGATACGCCAACATTTGGGTAAGATTCCCCGAGAAAGTTCATGGTCGATGAAGCAAGATTTCCCGAACAATGCCTGCCTAGAATCTAGATTTAGCTATTTAGCTGAGCGTCGTAGACTTGGAAGTGCCAAATCATTCAACATTTCACTTCTCAGAAAGAGTCCCCTTTTCAGGTTTCGTAGAAAGACTCTCCGGTTAGTAGCTTCGCTATAGCGGTGTCTTCCCGTCATTTGTTTACTTAATAGAATCTGACCCTCCCTCGCTAGCGCCAAATAGGTGTATGTTGCTAAGGCATTTCTTTCTGTAGATAGCGTCTTCCGCATTCCCCTACCTTTTGATTGACCTCGCGAAGAAGTATTGATATGGAAATAAAGGCATGGGAGGAGTGTGTCGATACCTAAAGCCTCAGGGAGAATGGACTTCTTCCTCTTCTTCAGGATGCTTAGAGTCCTATCCTGCCGCTTCTGCCCTGATTGAAAGAAGGGCGAGGTCACTATGTGAACAAGAACGATTAAACAATAGCGTAAGTATACAAGTACACAGCTTGCTCCTTAGATCCTGATTCACTACTTCTCATTCAAGGGAAGGTTTCGAAGTTATACTCTACACAATGAAAAGAAAGACAAATTATATTAGATGAAAAAACTGTTGATTCTTCACCAGGTATTCCACCTTCTGCCTATGTTATTGGAAGCCTGTGCTTGCTCTCGCTTCGCCTCAAGCACGACCGATTGACTCGCACTATCTGATTCATGGTCCGGCTTTGCTTGTCTGGCAGTGAACTCCATTCCCTTCTGTAATGGGAAGGAAAAAGAGGTAGCCAACTAGCTCACGGGATTGGTTGTAGTGATAGTCAGAATCTGTGCTTGGCTGGTCTGTGGTGAGGCTTACTCATCCCTTCACTTCTTCAGTTCAGCCTTAAACTGACACTTGTCCAAGTTCCGCCCCAGTAGCCCTTGGATTAAGAAGCGACGCCCGTACCTG